GGGCCGTCGTTTTTCCACCAATACTACACTTTCCTTGTTAGCCCTCGTCCAAACATCCGTAGTGATTCCGATGGCTGCACAATTCTGAAGGCCCTTGAAACCAGCGGTACAGATATCCAAGCGATCGCTGAGCCACCTGAAATGTTTAAATACGACCGATGGATATTGAAGGCCGGGACTTGACTATAATTTCCATCAGTAGTACATAGGGAGCAGCAGTATTTCATTACCGGGATATTTGCCGACGAGAGGGTATAACGTACTGAGGCTTGTTTCGGCATGTTAGATGGTACACCAAGGCTTGAAAACCAGACTTCTCAACGAGAGAAATCGGCATGTTGTCCGTAACAACCTAGCAAACTTCGACCACTGCCGAGGAGTCCTGACTCAGGATGTTGCTCACCATGTTGATGATGAGTTCGGTTGTTTTTTCGTTGAATGCTTTCCTAGCCGTCTCTTCGAGCTTGTTGGCGGATTTGTCGCCGGCTATTTCAGATGGCTTAGCACGGCAAGAATGATCTCGCAGTGCTTTATAGCTCGACTTCGCTATAACGAGCTTCGCGCCGCAGTTCAAGCACTCCGCCAGCTCCTTGCCAAGTCTTGCGAAACGACCCCCAAACTCGCCCTCAAAGCGTTTGGTGACCTTATCTTGACGAACGAAGCCATTCGAGGTACCTTGAAATTCAAGGCTTGAATGAATAGGACTCACTGCATACTGGAACCCAACGAATAAAGCCAAGATCTGCGAAGAGCCAACCCAAGAACCAGTGGTATGCATCCTCTACACATCTTATGTTGTGTTGAATACCTGTCATTGACAGTATTTCTTGAGCGTTCAAGGCATTCCATCCTCATCACATTGAGCTGATATGAAGCCCCCAGTCTGACTATCCTGCTCATCTTGGGTGTTGTTAACAGTGATGCTCACCTGGCTGGTACGGGGAACATCAACTTTGATATCATGATGGATAAGCAGGCCGATAATGGCGATCATATGACTGAGTTTGACCTCGAAAAAGCTCGCCTAACAACCTTGAGGATCCAATCAGCTGTGCGTTGTGCGAATATTGCGAGATAGTTGTCTTTATTCCGCCCGTCTGCTGGCCTGTACCACTTGCGTGCGGCAAGTATTGCAAGGCTTGTTGCTGACATTTGATGTTTCGTAGACATTGTCTTCGGCTGTCCAACGAGCCA